TGGACGAGTCATTTAATCCCTCCCTGGGCCTCAGTTTCCTCATTGGTAAAATGAAGAGGTTGGACCTAATGACCTCTAATATCTCTTGCAGCTCTAAATCTATGATTCTATGATCCTAAAATGTTTTTTATTGTCTTTTCCTTGCTAATGGAGGTAAGTGGAGGTATTGGGGAGAGTCAGACTAGACCAGATACTAAACTATAGTGTGTGAGAATCCTCTAAATGCTGACCTGAACTGAGGCAGAGGTTCCAGTCCAAGGAAGGGGGCAAAACTGAGCCTGTGGGTGTTAATTAAGTAGGAGGGCTTGGAGATGTAAGCTATTCCAATACTAAATGAAGGAGAACTGAGACAGAGACTAATGATGCTGAAAAGCCAGAGGATAATTGATAAAAGAGCATTCTGAATTAGGGCCTGGGATCGAATTCAGTTTCTACCACTTGCTAGCTGTGTAACCAAGGGGAAAAACCACTTAATCATAATAGTTGCTTTTTTATGAAGCACTTTAAGATTTGCAAAGCACCGTACATATGTTATCTCAAGGCAGCTAGGTGGCACAGTGGACAGACTGTACTGAGGAAAACCTGAGTACAAATCCAGCCTCAGACCCTGTGTGACTTAAGTCACTAAACCTCTCTCAGCTTTGGTTTTCTCATCTGTAAAATGGGGACAATGGAAGCATCGACCTCCCAGGGCTGTTGTGACAATTAAATGAGATAATATTTTAAAACCCTTTGCAAACTTTAAATCAATTGATAAATGCTAGCTATGGTAGTAGTGGTTATTTGAACTTTAGAGCAACCCAGTGAGGTAAGTGTGATAGAGGCAATATTAATACTATTTTATGGGTGAGAAAACAGGCTTAGGAATGTTAAGTGACTCCCCAAAAGAGTGTAAGCCCCTTGAGGTTGAGGGCTGCCATTTTTGTCTTTGTATCTATAGTGCCTGGAATGGTGCTTGGCCATAGCAGCCCTTAATAAATGCCCCTTAATTGATTGAGTACTTGGACACTCAGCTAGTCAAAAACTAACTAGAAACTTGTAAAATGGTTAAACTTCAAAGGAATCTTGAGTGGGAGGTGGGTTTCAAATCCAAGTCTTTCCTGACTACGGGCCCTGCATTATTTCGATGATACTACACATACTACCTCAACTTGGATGGGCCTTATCTTATCTGTAATGTAAGGAGATTGAGCTATATGACCTCTAAGCTTCCTTCCAGCCCTCAGGTTGCAAAAGCAAAGTGGAAGAGATGCTGTCAGGTGAAAGATTATCCGATAAAAGGTTAGCTAGAGGAAGAAGAGAGGAGTAGTGGTTGGTGACTCCCTGCCAAAGGGAACTGAGACATCTTTGTCAGTAGATTAGCCAGGGGGCAGCTACATGGCGAAGTGGATAGAGCACCAGCCCTGGAGTGAGGAGGACCTGAGTTCAAATCTGGCTTCAGATATATAACATGCACCAGCTGTGTGACCCTGGGCAAGTCGCTCAACCCCATTGCCTAGCCAAAAAAAAAAAAAAAGGAAAGTAGATTAGCCAAATCTCTCTTGATGTTTTTGTTGTTGTTCAATTACATCCAACTCTTTGTGATTCTATTTGTGGTTTTCTTGGCAGATATACTGGAGTGGTTTGCCATTTTCTTCTCCAGCTCATTTTACAGATGAGATACTGAGGCATACAGGGTTAAGTGACTTGTCCAGGGTCACACAGCTAACAAGTGTCTAAGGTCACGTTTGAGTCCAGCTCTCTATCCTTTGTATTACCTGGGGGTCATATATTCAGGACATGACCAAGAACCTTTATCAAGCCAGATAACTGTTGCCCACTTGTGGTGATTCATAAAAGTGGTGCTGAAAGACTCTGGAAGCATTTCTTTGATCAAGAAAATAAAGACTTTGGGAGCACTGGTAGTGTTTTCATCACTTCGGCCAATCAAAGGCAAAGGCTTCAAAAGAGAGAGGCAGATTTCAGAAAGTGAACAGCTGATGAACATAACATTGATTTGGGAGTTGCTAAATAAATGTGAGTACATAAATGTAATGGAATGCTATTGTACCACAAGAAATAACAAAAAGAATTCAGAGAAACATGGGAAGACTTGAATGAACTGATGAGAATGAAGTTAGCAGAACTAAAAGAACAATCTACATAATGACTACAATTATATATTATTCATATATACATACACACACGCACACACACACACATATAAAATACACTAAGGGAAGCTAAACTCTAAGTGTAAATGACCAGTGTTCAATCCCACAAAACAAGTAATGAACCATATCTACCTCTTCTCAACAGAAAGGTGGGAATCTACAGGAGAAGCATGTTGTATACATTGTCAGAAGTAGTCACTGTATTGGTTGGCTTTCTTTATTGTTTAATATGTGACCTTTCCTGATCCTACCCCAGCAACTAATGCCCCTCCCCTCCCACCTCTCCCTAATGACCTTTTATTAATTTTGTATTGAGCTATATGGGAACATGCTGTTTCCTGTAGTAGACTGTCATCTCCTTAAAGGCACGACTCATGCTTTTGTTTTTCTATCCTGGCAGCCTGATCCAGCTCTCTTTCTTTCTGCCCAAAGCAGAGCAGCTAAAAATTTCTTGACTTGCATTAAATTCATCCTTCTTAAGGTAAAGGAACCAACAAGGAGGACTTTTATTCTGAATATGATTTGCACTAACAAAGAGGAGGTGGTTGGTTGGGTGGAAAGGATGGGAACTATGAGAGGAAGTGCCCAATCTATTTGAGAGTTTGGGATAGAGTAGGGAAGGAAATCCAGACATATTCTGACTTGTGCTCTAGATTTTGGCTGAGGAGATTTCAAAGGTTTAAGAGTCAATACAGGTAGACTTTCATGGACTACAATTCTACAAGGAAAGCCCCAGAGAATGGCAGAAGCTCTCATGAATGAAATCCCAAAGAAAAATAATTTTGATGAGGAAAAGGGGGAGTCATCTAAAGAGAATGTTGTTGATGATGTAAGGAACTCATCAACCAACTTATACTTTTGAAAGACATTTCACAGAAGATGGAAATGAGAGTAGGCAACTGAGGAGGAATACAAAAGCATAGTATTGTGGTCCCATAAGAAGTGTCAGAAGTCCTAAAGAATAGAATGAAAGACAGCGACAATAGTGTGTGTGTGTGTGTGTGTGTGTGTGTGTGTGTGTGTGTGTGTGTGTGTGAGCTATATTGGAGGAAAATAAGGATAAAAAAGAGGGATAGGATCATTGCTTTCAGTGGATGACAGAGATTCTCATTTCTTATTTTGCTTGTCTTTTCTCTGTCAAGAAGTACGACCTTTGGACTGGAAAGGCAAACATAGATAATAGGGAGTTCATATTCAGGACAAGTAAGGAAGTAGTTTAAAAAAATCACCTGGCTGCTTTTGATGAATTCATCATCAGGCCCAGATAAATTAGTTATAAGAGTACTGAAACTGATCACTGAACCACTTGTTAAAGTCTTTTGAAAGATCATGGGGAATGCAAGACGAGGTGTTGATAGATTTGGGGGGTGGGTGGAAATGTTATATAAATTTTTAGTTTTTAATTATTAATTTATTTTTAGTTTTCGACGTTCACTTCCACAAGATTTTGAGTTCCAAATTTTCTCCCCATCTCATCCCTTCCCCCACCTGAAGATGGCATGCATTCTGAATACCCCTTCCCCTAATCTGCCCTCCCTTCTATCTCTCCCCTCCTTCTCTTATCCCCCTCCCCTTCAATTTTCCTGCAGAGCATGATAGATTTCTATACTCCATTTCCTGTATATCTTATTTCCCAGTTGTTATGCCAATTTTTAAAAGGAACAAGGGGGTCTGCAAACTATATGCCAGGAAGCTTGGCTTCTTTTTTTGTGGCAGAACTCAAGAAACTATTGTTAAAATGTATGGCTAAAGTATATAAAAGTATAGTGAATATCTAGAAAAAACAAGTACTGATCACTTCATCAAGAATGGTCCAGAAATGAATTTCATTTCCTTTTTTTTTAATGAGGTTTCTAGACTTTCTTTCAGGGGAATGCTACAGGTGGAATTTATCTAGAACTGTTTAGCAAAGCATGTTATGCCTATGGACGAGATGGAGAGTGGTGTGGGTGATAGTAACTTAGGTGGATTTAGAATGGGTTGAATAGCTGGCCCCAAAGAGTTGTGATGAAATGTAAGCTCCTGAGTGCAGGAATTGGTTTTGGCTCGTTTGTTTGGTTTGGTTTTCATTTTCATGTCCCCAGTGCTTAGCTTGGCAAACAGTAGATGATTCATAAACGCTTATTGATGGAAACAGAATTGATGCCCACTGATTTGGGAGTGGCTAAACAAGTTGTGGTATATGAATGAAACTGGAATATTATTGTGATGTAAGAAACAATGAATATGAACTTCACTAATGTGAAAATATGTTTAATGGGTGAGCTGTCTTGGGGGGGTTGAGGGGAGGAAGGGGAAGAAAAATTTTCAACTGAAAAGCATATGGAAGTGATTGTTGATAAATCAAAATAAATTAATAAAACTGGCCCATTTTAAAAAAAGCAATGAATATGATGAAGAGAAGTATGGGAAGACAAATATGAACTGATGCAAAGTTGCAAGCAGAACCTGAAAAACAACATGCATAATATGCATGACTACATATGAATGACTACAAAGATATAAATGGAAAAAAACAACATGGAACAAAATGGAAAGAACAAAGAACAAAATAATTGAGGTTGAAATGCTGCTAAATAATAATGACCAAGCTGGGCTTCAAAGAAGAAATATGAAAAGGTACCTCCCCCTGATTCTTTTCAGGGGCAGAGAACTCTCTCTCTCTCTCTCTCTCTCTCTCTCTCTCTCTCTCTCTCTCTCTCTCTCTCTCTCTCTCTCTCTCTCTCTTCTCTCTCTCTCTCTGTGTGTGTGTGTGTGTGTGTGTGTGTAACATATAATATCAGACTTTTTTTGATAATGCTGGCTAGTTTTGCCTGTTTTTTTCTCCTTTTTTATTTGCTACAAGGT